CCCCCCCGCTTTCAGCTTCCCACAGCTCACAGATGCAACTTTCATTTTACATACTGAAATAACACAATAGAATATCACTGAATAACAAGGATCTACTGTTATGAATACCCTTTAATTTACCGCCTTAAATATAACCATGTACCGTTTTTACATTGACCAAAATATAACTATTATCTCCCGATATTTTTTAAGTTCCCTTTCCGCTTTTAAACAAGTCACTTCTTATCTTCGTATTGCACGATATACGCTTCTTACAAATTAGTTACAAATCATTCTACTCAAGTTCCTAGCAACGACACAAAGTTCATTTTACCTTAAATCTTTATCATGTATTTTTGTCATCCACCCACACTTGTGATTTATTATTATTGCTGGAATATAACCCTATCCTAGAAAACTAATAATTCAAAATTTTCCTTAGTGTGAACCAATCTTCGTTACAAAAATAACACTCTAAATAAGCTAACATTAAAAATCGCTGGGTTGTCATCAAGTGCACTGGTATCAAAATTCTCTCGGTGTGGGGGAGGGAGGAGGGGTTGGAAAGGGGCGTTCGCCCCCTCCTCAACCAAGACCCGAGAGTCTTGAGTAGCTATCGCAAACTGAAGTTGGCTTCTCCACAGCGGCTCGTAGATTCTAATAATAGGTCATAATAGGGGCTGTTTAAAATTTTAAAAAAAAACCTCCAATTTTTTCTTTCTTCCCTTTTAGCCACTTTGCAACAAACAAAAAAACTACAAATTCACATGAAATTGCAATTTTACTTAGATACAAATAGATAAATTCCAGTTGTGGTACTGGAAGACAAACGACTGAGTGCACCAATATTTTCCACATTTGTTTTCACCCTGCAATTTTGAACGAAATCAAGTATGACCCTGATTAAGATACATAAATAAATGATAAATAACAATATTTTTTGAGCAGTTAAATATTTTCGCTTGTTTTCTCGACTGTGAAGGAACCCGGGCGACAGCAGTCATAAACATCATCAACAAATTCGAAACACAATGAACCACTAACAAATGATACGTATAATTTTATGGGAACTTGAAACCATGAGAAATTTACCAAGCCTCGCTCATCAAGATCAGAACTGTCTGCAGCTTCAAAAATTCGTGGAGGCGCCAAAAGAAAGGCGTGCCTGCAAAATTACAAAATAGTTTTACAAAGTGAAGAAAGCTACCTGTTGCTACAAGACCAATCTCATACCCAGACCCCCATGGGTATGAGGTTACTAGAAGACCATTCCCCGCTCACTTTACCCTAAATAACATTCTTCGAAGGTAGTGATCATAACTAAGAAACTTTTCATAGATAATCATTCGCAGATGAAAACGGGACCAAACTCACCCGGTCAGAGAAGGTTACTTGCCAGGCGTCATCATCATCATCATATGCCCCAGGCTCCCCATCTTCCTCTTCCAAAGCACTGAACCGCACCTCGTCAGACCAAATGTCTCGCAACCTCTCCGCACGCCTGCGTACTCTGAATCTCGACCCAGTCCTTCCAGTCGACAATGATTTGTCGTCAAAATCAATTTCGTCCGTTTGTTGACGGGCAAAGTTGATAAAAACCTGGGAAAATTGAACAAGATTTAACAACAAGATAGCCCATAAACCTAAGGGACAGGAAAGATCGAAGAAGCAGCCGGAAGAATTACTTACGTTATCCAGTGTTGTCTGGCTAACGGAATAGTCCTCGATTTTCAACACTTCATAGGATGATTCAATATGACCAAACACCTCGGAGAGTGCCATGACACCCGAGGGGAGCTGGTACTGAACCATGTTATGATGATTTTCCTGAAAACGAGTGAATTTTTCTAGAGTAAGTGCCAAAGGAGTTACGCTATGATTCTTCTAAATAGTGTTCAGGCGTCAGAGAGAATTCCCTTTTATCAGAGGGAAGCCTTAACATAATAGTGTGTTCGTGCAGGAAAAAAAGGGGACAAGAACAAACGATGAAGGAACATGGATTTTTTTAAATGTTTATAATTTAACAGTTTCACCAATTAGATTTTTCAAAGCTAAATACCCTGACACTTAAATCAAGTCTACCATACCATACCGTCTAGCAAACATGTAGTTGGAAAATTGCGTAAGTCTGTTTTACCTTCAACGTTGCACGAGGGAACTTTTCGGAGAAAAACTGGTACAAAGGCTCCAAATTGGGTAGGTCTCCCTGAACACGGACAGTGATGATGTAGCCCTCCCCGAACCTGTCAAAAATTGAACGCGTTCCAGGTAAATCGAGCTTCTGCTCACAACTTCAGCCCTTTTTGATTGAGAATCATTAACCAAAACTAAAGTACTCGCAACGGATATAAGTAACTCTGCATATAAGTAACTTCTCAAAAGAAGCAATGATAAGTCAAAAAAAAAAAACAAACACCAAAACTAAAGCGCAAGAAAGGCTAACAGTCAAGTCTAGCTCAGTCTGGTGGTGGCGCGAAACTTTTGGACCAATCAGAAAGCATTTTTAGACGAAAACATTGCTATTCTGGATTATTTTTGACACTCTACTGAAAAAGGGGTGGAACAGGATCCAAAAACAACTCGTAACTCTCCTTTGTGGATATTCGTGTGTACAACTGACCTGTTTTTCAGGTGTTGACAGCTTCCAAGGCACTTAAAGCGGCCATTGACCATGATAGCCAAGCGAGTGCACAGTGCTTCACATTCCTCCATACTGTTGGACATAACATAAGCGTGAGTTTAACCGAAAAAAACTGATTAAAACTTACGAGTAGTTTTGTGCTAGCCGTTGCTAAAAACTGACCTGTGCGAAGTCAAGATAACTGAGCGGCCGTCCTTAATGATATCCATTATCAAATTCCACAGAAAGCGACGAGCATGTGGATCCATCCCTGTGGTAGGCTCATCCTGAACACAGGAAAAAATGAAAAGAAACATTGTGATCAATCAAATTAGAGGGTCTCATATATCCCGAATCAGGACTCAAGGAATACAAAAACTGTCTTTTTCGAAGTCGTTAATGCTTTGTGAAAACATGGGATACATATTCAAAACATGAACAGAGAAAAACCTGAGTGCGGAAAACCATAACCAAACAAACATATTTCAAACTGAAGCTGACATTTGCTTTGAACAACCCCTCCAAAGTAGGGTCTACTTAGTTGAAATTTAGCATTTCGAAGTAGATTAACCTTGTCCTTATCTCGAAATATCGCATGTAACGGAAAGTTGGTTTAAAAAAAATTATCTCTCTTCGCTAACTGTCTACAAAAGGTTTGTTGGGGTTTCGTTTTAATTTGTATAATACTCAAAAAACAACAAATAACACGAATTAATTACCAAGAATATTATTGGCGGGTTGCCAATCAGAGCCATGGCGGTTGAAAGTTTCCTTTTGTTTCCACCGCTGTACGTTTTGCTGGGTCTGTTAGCAAAGCGTGACAGTGAAAGCTTCTTGAGCGCCCACGATACAACCTAACGATAAATACAAGATTCCATCACGACAGAAATCTATACTACGTAAGATAAACGCTAGAGAGTGAATTTGTAAAAATGATGCTCGCGGGTTAGCGAGACCTAAATTTGCAAACAAAACTTTTTAACCCTTCAACTCCCGCGATTTGATTAGAGGTTCTTAATCCTTATATCAAATAAAACTCTACAACTAAAACGTTTATCCATTTTCATCTACTTTTAATCGATGATGTGGTGAAATTTTGAGAGAAGTTAGCACTTTAGATTACTTCTGAGCCAAACAGGGATATTGAGTCCCCTTCATTTGTTTCACGGTTCATTAAGACATGGTAGCTTGATGCGTGATCCAACTGAATTCTCATTTTGGGGGGCAAATGGGACAATGACCCAGTTTTTTATTAAATTTTCCACAACCAGTTGTTACCAGTGACACAAAATTTAGGAATCGTGAAATTTAAGTACAGAACGTTTAAAACAGGTCGAAACTAAATTTCTTTATTTTCCTTTTAACTACTATTTTCATAGGTTTTGTCTCAAAGTGGCATTCTATCTCAAAGAAGGTAAGTTTAAAATCTAAAATCGCAAGCGCTACAGAGGGCTACGCAGATGGTCCATGCTACTTACCGACTGCAATTCGTTTCCAGGAATT